GACCCCTATAGCGACTTTTTTTCAAAAAAGCGACTAGCGACAAATCTAGCAACTTTTTCTGGTGTTATTGGCGACTTATCTGGTGTTTTGGCGACTTATCTGGTGTTTTGGAGACTCGTGAAGCACGTATTGTTCTGCTGTCCTCAACGTGAGCCCCTCCCCCGTCCCAAAGCACTTACAGGCGGCCAGTCTCACAGTAGCCTTGCGCAGCAGTCCCAGCTACAGTCTATGGGCGGAGCAGAGAGAGAGAGAGGAGACTCAAAAGCACAGGAAGTTTTCAGGCTGCTGCAGACTGAACTTCAGCTCCACCACCACCACACATCCAAAGCTCCCCGGCCACTCCTACCACCGCCACCCCCCACACTACCCCCCACTCCATCCGCGGCAGCTCTGTCCGTGACTCTGTTTTCTCTCAGTAGTGGGTCACATTAAATCATTTGTTATGCCAAACTATGAAAAAAAAAAAAAAATTACAAAAATAAACCTAAGTAACTCTGCCAGAGTGTGTCTTTTGGGTCACTTTGCCGGTCCCAAGCCCGGATAAAGGAGGAGGGTTGGTTGTAGAGCTAGCAATTTCACCCTACATAACAATCTTTTGATTACATTTGCTGTTATAACATTTAACAATACAGGACAAAACTGATGTGTGTAATGTGGATCTAGACAAAGCATTAAAATCATTAAATGTTGTTAATGTTGAAATTATTTTTGTACATTTGTAGTTCTAAACATATTTAGGGTGTTTTTACTCACTTTTGTCTCTCCCACGACCTTATTCCTCTCTCCTACAGCGTCCGTTACAGTTATTTGCAAATGGCAAATTATGCAAATTAGGCGATGACGTCATTTAGCGACTTCTAGCGACTTTTGGGACAGCCAATAGCTACTTTCCTTACTGAGGAGTTGGCAACACTGGACACATGTGCTGAAAGAGCATACCTCAAGACACCAGCGCCGTAAAAGGGGTCGCGTCGACGCAGAGCCACTGGGGAATTATTAAATAATGTTTTTAAATAATATAGCAGCTCGTGAGCAACGACTGACTCATGAATCTTGATATTAGCATTCGTCAGCAGCAGCCTCTCCCCTTCTCGCTATCTCTGCGCGCTTTTGTCATGCCCCTGTGCTGCATATGTTAGACCTTTCCCCAGGGTCCAACTCTTCTTCCACTCTGAGTTCGCGCACACATTTTTACCTCTGCTGAGGAAGCAACTGTGGTAATCCTGCTGCCCAACTTCCACAAGACAGTCAGTTTGTCCTGCTATTGGTGAGAACAAAAAGAAGTGAATACTAGAGCCTCTTCTTCCTTCCTCCCTCCCTCGCTCACTCACTCTCTCTCTCTCTATCTCTCTCCCCAGTTCAACTCCGTCTTTATCGGCACTAAATGTTCCTCAGCTCAACGCAGCCCAACAAATGCCCCTTATCAACAGATCTATGTGAGCCCGGAGAGGAGTGCGCGGGGAGAAATGAAATAACACAAGATGGAGGTTTAAAAATCAGCCCCAGAGACAGATCGAGAGAGAAGGGATAGGGGCTAGGATGGAGTGGGTCTCCAAGGGGAAGTTGGCGAGCTGTCAGCAGATCTTCAGACAGGAGCAGCGAGGAGTGGGTCTGTGAAAGAGATAGGAGCAAGTTGTCAATTCTAACAGATTAGAACTGCTTTATAGACAGCAGAAAAGGAATATGGCAGCTGCTGCACGAGGGTCAGAAACGGCCCTGAAGGAATGTTAAAGAAATGTTAAAGAAATGCAGTCTTGTAAAGGGTGGAGTGGACTGTGTGCCGATACACATACATATACTCAATACCCAATGCCAATTTTACAAAAAATTGCTAACACAAAAAAGATAATAATTTATTTTGTATATTTCTTATAATTGTTAAAAAAGGTCAACATTTGTCAAATGTCATCTTTTTTGTGTTCCTTCATTGCCAGACTGTAAGCTGCTACTTTTTCAATTCAGCTTTTTTTATTTTTGAGTGGCTGCATAGACTATGCAGCCACTATATGCTCTCCTACTGTTTATTCTTCTTCCACTTCCGCCAGATTTTGGCACTTTTCAACTCTTCAACGCTTTAACCAAATTCAACAAATTATACATCGTTACGACCGGCTTCACCGTCTCATTATTGCTATTACTTTTCACACTTCCACCTTTTGCACTTTTTCAGATATTAACAAAAGTTCAAGCATTTTTTCCCATAGACTTACATTGGACCAGTACCACAGATTACTCCCCATACAACACATTACCACACTAACAATTCATTACCACAGATACAATACATTACAACATCTTACAACACTTACAGCACTTTACAAGACTTACAGCACTTTACAAGACTTACAGCACTTTACAAGACTTACAGCACTTTACAACACATTCAACACTTTCCAACACATTCAGCACCTTACAACACATTTAGCACTTTACTCTTCTTTCCCTTCTTACTCTTCTTCCCCTTCTTCCTCTTCTTCCCCTTCTTTCCCTTCTACCTCTTCCCCTTCTTCCTCTTTTCCCCTTCTTCCTCTTCTTCCCCTTCTTCCTCTTCTCCCCCTTCTTCCCCTTCTTCCTCTTCTTCCTCCTTCTTCCGCTTCCTCTTCCTCCCTCCTCCTTCTTCTTCCTCTTCCTCTTCTTCTTCTTTCCTCTTTCCCTTTTTGAGTGGCTGCATAGACTATGCAGCCACTATATGCTCTCCTACTGTTTATTCTTCTTCTTCTTCTTCTTCCACTTCCGCCAGATTTTGGCACTTTTCAACTCTTCAACGCTTTCACCAAATTCAACAAATTATACATCGTTACAACCGGCTTCACCGTCTCATTATTGCTATTACTTTTCACACTTCCACCTTTTGCACTTTTTCAGATATTAACAAAAGTTCAAGCACTTTTTCCCATTGACTTACATTGGACCAGTACAACAGATTACTCCCCATACAACACATTACCACACTAACAATTCATTACCACAGATACAATACATTACAACATCTTACAACACTTACAGCACCTTACAACACTTACAGCACTTTACCACACTTACAGCACTTTACAACACATTTATCACTTTACAACATCAGCACTTTACAACACATTCAGCCCCTTACAACACATTCTTAATTCATCTTCTTCACTTCTTCCCCTTCTTCCTCTTCTTCCTCTTCTTCCCCTTCTTCCTCTTCTTCCCCTTCTTCCCCCTCTTCCCCTTCTACCCCTTTTTCCTCTTCTTCCCCTTCTTCACCTTCTTCTTCTTCCCCTTCTTCCTCCTTCTTCCCCTTCCTCCCTCCTCCTTCTACCTCCTCCTCTTCCTTCTTCTTCTTCTTTCCTCTTCTTCCCTTTTCTTTCTTCTTCTTCTTCCTACATCTTTCATTTCTTTCAACTTCTTCCTTCTTCATCCCTAACCCTTCCAACATCTATGCAGCCACTCACAATGGCTTCAGCCATTGTACCATTTCTAGTCTTTCTTCTTCTTCTTTCTTCTTTCATTTCTTTCAACTTCTTCCTTCTTCCTCCTTCTTCCCCTTCCTCTTCCTTCTTCATCCCTAACCCTTCCAACATCTATGCAGCCACTCACAATGGCTTCAGCCATTGTACCATTTCTAGTTGAGTGGCTGCATAGACTATGCAGCCACTATATGCTCTCCTACTGTTTATTGAGTGGCTGCATAGACTATGCAGCCACTATATGCTCTCCTACTGTTTATTCTTCTTCTTCTTCTTCTTCTTCTTCTTCTTCTTCTTCTTCTTCCACTTCCGCCAGATTTTGGCACTTTTCAACTCCTCAACGCTTTCACCAAATTCAACAAATTATACATCGTTACGACCGGCTTCACCGTCTCATTATTGCTATTACTTTTTAAACTTCCACCTTTAGCACTTTTTCAAATATTAACAAAAGTTCAAGCACTTTTTCCCATTGACTTACATTGGACCAGTACAACAGATTACTCCCCATACAACACATTACCACACTAACAATTCATTACCACAGATACAATACATTACAGCATCTTACAAAACTTGCAGCACCTTACAACACATTTAGCACTTTACAACAAATTCAACACCTTACAACACATTTAGCACTTTACAACACATTCAACACCTTACAACACATTTAGCACCTTACAACAAATTCAACACCTTACAACACATTCAGCACCTTACAACAAATTCAACACCTTACAACACATTTAGCACTTTATAACACATTCAACACCTTACAACACATTTAGCACTTTACAACAAATTCTACACCTTACAACACTTATAGCACCTTACAACACATTTAGCACGTTACAACAAATTCAACACCTTACAACACATTTAGCACTTTACAACAAATTCAACACCTTACAACACATTTAGCACTTTACAACAAATTCAACACCTTACAACACATTTAGCACTTTACAACAAATTCAACACCTTACAACACATTTAGCACCTTACAACAAATTCAACACCTTACAACACATTTAGCACTTTACAACACATTCAACAACTTAAAACACATTTAGCACTTTACAACAAATTCAACACCTTACAACACATTTAGCACTTTACAACAAATTCAACACCTTACAACACATTTAGCACTTTACAACAAATTCAACACCTTACAACACATTGAGCACTTTACAACAAATTCAACACCTTACAACACATTTAGCACTTTACAACACATTCAACACCTTACAACACATTTAGCACTTTACAAAACATTCAATACCTTACAACACATTTAGCACTTTACAACAAATTCAACACCTTACAACACATTTAGCACTTTACAACACATTTAGCACTTGAATACACATTCAGCACTTTACAACACATTTAGCACTTTACAACACATTCAGCACTTTACAACACATTCAGCACTTTACAACACATTCAGCACTTTACAACACATTTAGCACTTTACAACACCTTACAACACATTCAGCACTTTACAACACTTTCAGCCCCTTACAACACATTCTTCTTACTTCATCTTCTTCACTTCTTCCTCTTCTTCCCCTTCTTCCTCTTCTTCCCCTTCTTCCTCTTCTTCCTCTTCTTCCCCTTCTTCCTCTTATTCCTCATCTTCCCCTTCTTCCTCTTCTTCCCCTTCTTCCCCTTCTTCTTCTTCCCCTTCTTCCCCTTCTTCTTCTTCCTCCTCCTCTTCCTTCTTCTTCTTTCCTCTTCTTCCCTTTTCTTTCTTCTTCCTTCTTCTTCCCCTTCCTCTTCCTTCTTCATCCCTAACCCTTCCAACATCTATGCAGCCACTCACAATGGCTTCAGCCATTGTACCATTTCTAGTTCTTCTTCTTCTTCTTCTTCTTCCACTTCCGCCAGATTTTGGCACTTTTCAACTCTTCAACGCTTTCACCAAATTCAACAAATTATACATCGTTACGACCGGCTTCACCGTCTCATTATTGCTATTACTTTTCACACTTCCACCTTTAGCACTTTTTCAGATATTAACAAAAGTTCAAGCACTTTTTCCCATAGACTTACATTGGACAAGTACAACAGATTACTCCCCATACAACACATTACCACACTAACAATTCATCACCACAGATACAATACATTACAACATCTTACAACACTTACAGCACCTTACAACACATTTAGCACTTTACAACAAATTCAACACCTTACAACACATTTAGCACCTTACAACAAATTCAACACCTTACAACACATTTAGCACTTTACAACACATTCAACACCTTACAACAAATTCAACACCTTACAACACATTTAGCACTTTAACAAAAATTCAACAGAGGGAGGAGAGAGGAGGAGAGGGGAGAGGAGGAGAGAGGAGAGAGAGGAGGAGAGAGAGGGAGGAGAGAGGAGGGAGAGGGAGGGAGAGGAGGAGAGAGAGAGGAGAGGGAGAGAGAGAGGAGAGAGGGAGAGGAGAGGAGAGAGGGGAGGAGAGAGGAGGAGAGGAGGAGAGGAGAGGAGAGGAGAGAGAGAGGAGAGGAGGAGAGAGAGAGAGGAGGGAGGAGAGAGAGGAGAGAGGGAGGAGAGGGAGAGGAGGAGAGAGGAGAGGAGAGAGGGAGAGGAGAGGAGAGAGGAGAGAGAGGGAGAGGAGGAGAGGAGAGAGGAGGGAGAGAGGAGGAGAGAGGAGAGAGGAGGAGGAGGAGAGAGGAGAGGGAGAGGAGAGAGAGAGAGAGGAGGGAGAGAGGAGGAGAGGGAGAGGAGAGAGGGAGGGAGGAGGAGAGAGGGAGGAGAGGAGAGGAGGGGAGAGAGAGAGAGGGAGGGGAGGAGAGGAGAGGAGGGAGGGAGAGAGAGAGGAGAGGGAGAGGAGGGAGGAGAGAGAGGAGAGGGGAGAGAGAGAGGGAGAGAGGAGGAGGAGAGGAGAGAGGAGGGAGAGGAGAGGAGAGGGGAGAGAGGAGAGGGAGGAGAGAGGGAGAGAGGAGGAGGGAGGAGGAGAGAGGAGGAGAGGAGAGAGGGAGAGAGGGAGGAGAGGAGAGAGGAGGAGAGGAGGAGAGGAGAGGAGAGAGGAGAGAGGAGGAGGGAGAGAGGAGGGAGGAGAGGAGAGAGGAGAGGAGGAGAGAGAGGAGAGGGAGGAGAGGAGAGAGGAGAGGAGGGAGGAGAGAGGAGAGGAGAGAGAGGAGGGAGGAGAGAGGAGGAGAGGAGAGAGGAGGGAGGAGAGAGGAGAGAGAGAGGAGGGAGAGAGAGAGGGAGAGAGGGGAGAGGAGGAGAGGGAGAGAGGAGAGAGGAGGGAGAGGAGGAGAGGAGGAGAGAGGAGAGGGAGAGAGGAGGAGGAGGAGAGAGGAGGGAGAGGAGGAGAGGAGAGGAGGAGAGAGGGAGAGAGGAGAGGAGAGGAGGAGGGAGAGGAGAGAGGAGAGAGAGGAGAGAGGAGGAGGAGAGAGAGGAGAGGAGGAGAGGAGAGGGGAGAGAGGAGAGGAGAGAGGAGAGAGGAGGAGGAGAGAGAGGAGAGGAGAGGAGAGGAGAGAGAGGGAGAGAGGAGAGAGGAGGAGGAGGAGAGAGAGGAGGGGAGGAGGGGAGAGAGGAGAGAGAGGAGAGAGGAGAGGAGGGAGGAGAGGGAGAGGAGAGAGAGGAGAGAGAGGGAGGAGGAGAGAGGAGGGAGAGGAGGAGGAGAGGAGAGGAGGAGAGGAGAGGAGAGAGAGAGAGGGGAGAGGAGAGGGAGAGAGAGAGGAGAGGAGGAGAGGAGAGGAGGGAGAGGAGAGAGGAGAGGGAGGAGAGGAGGAGAGGAGGAGAGGAGGAGAGAGGAGAGGAGAGGGAGAGGAGAGGAGAGGGAGGAGAGAGAGGAGAGGAGGGAGAGGAGGAGAGAGGGAGGAGAGAGGAGAGGAGAGGAGGAGGAGAGGAGAGGAGAGAGGGAGGAGAGAGGAGAGAGGAGAGGAGGAGGAGAGAGGGAGGAGAGGAGAGGAGAGAGGGAGAGGAGAGGGAGAGAGAGGAGAGGAGAGAGGAGAGGGAGAGGAGAGGAGAGAGGAGAGAGGGAGAGAGGAGAGAGAGGAGGAGGAGAGAGGAGAGAGGAGAGAGGAGGGAGAGAGAGGAGGAGAGGAGAGAGGAGAGGGAGGAGGGAGGAGAGAGGGGAGAGGAGGAGAGGGAGGAGAGAGGAGGAGAGGGAGGAGAGAGGAGGGAGAGAGGGAGAGGAGGAGAGAGGAGGGAGAGGAGGAGAGAGGAGGGAGGAGAGGAGGAGAGGAGAGAGGGAGGAGGGAGAGGAGAGAGAGGGAGGAGAGAGGAGAGGGAGGAGGGAGAGAGGAGAGGAGAGGAGGAGAGAGAGGAGGGAGGAGGAGGAGGAGAGGAGAGAGGAGAGGAGAGAGGGAGAGGAGAGAGGAGAGAGAGGAGAGGGAGAGAGAGGAGAGGAGGAGAGGAGAGAGGAGAGAGGAGAGAGGAGAGGAGGAGAGGAGAGAGAGGAGAGGAGGAGGAGAGGAGAGAGAGAGAGGAGAGAGGAGAGAGGAGAGAGGAGGGAGGAGAGGGAGAGGAGGGAGAGAGAGGAGGAGGAGAGAGAGAGGAGAGGGAGAGAGGAGGAGAGAGAGGAGGAGAGAGGAGAGGGAGAGGAGAGGAGAGAGGAGGAGAGGAGAGAGGAGAGGAGAGAGAGGAGAGGGGAGAGAGGAGAGGAGAGAGAGAGGAGAGAGGAGGAGAGGAGGAGAGGAGGGAGAGAGGAGAGAGGAGGAGAGGAGAGGAGAGAGAGGAGAGGAGAGGAGAGAGGAGGAGGGAGAGAGAGAGGAGAGAGGAGAGAGAGAGAGGAGGAGGAGAGGGAGGAGAGGGAGAGGAGAGAGGAGGAGAGGAGAGAGGGGAGGAGAGGGAGAGAGGGAGAGGAGAGAGAGGAGGAGGAGAGAGGAGGAGGAGAGGAGAGAGGAGGGAGAGGAGAGGAGAGAGAGGGAGGAGAGAGGAGAGGGAGAGGAGAGAGGAGAGAGGAGAGGAGAGGGAGAGGAGAGAGAGAGAGAGGAGGAGGAGAGAGGAGGAGAGGAGGAGAGGAGAGAGGAGAGAGGAGAGGAGAGGGGAGAGAGGAGGGAGAGGAGGAGAGAGGAGAGAGAGGAGAGGAGAGAGAGGAGGAGAGGAGGAGAGAGGAGAGAGGAGAGGAGGAGAGAGAGGAGAGAGAGGAGAGGAGAGAGGAGAGGGGAGAGAGAGAGAGGAGAGGAGGAGAGAGGAGAGAGGAGAGAGGAGAGGAGGGAGGAGAGAGAGAGGAGGGAGAGAGAGGAGAGAGGAGAGGAGAGAGGAGAGGAGAGAGGAGAGAGGGAGAGGAGGAGAGAGAGGAGAGGAGAGAGAGGAGGGAGAGAGAGAGGGAGAGAGGAGAGGAGGGAGGAGGAGAGGAGAGAGGGAGGGGAGAGGAGAGGAGAGAGAGAGAGAGGAGAGAGGAGGAGAGGGAGGAGAGAGGAGAGAGGAGGGAGAGAGAGGAGAGAGGAGGAGAGAGGAGAGAGAGAGAGAGGGAGAGGAGAGGAGGAGAGGGAGGAGAGGAGAGAGGGAGGAGAGAGGAGGGAGAGGAGAGGAGAGGAGGAGAGAGGAGAGAGGAGAGAGGAGAGAGGAGGAGAGAGGAGAGAGAGGAGAGGAGAGAGAGGAGGGGAGAGGAGAGAGAGGAGAGGAGAGGAGAGAGGAGGAGAGGAGGAGAGGGAGGAGAGGGAGAGAGGAGAGGAGAGGGGAGAGGAGAGAGGAGGAGAGAGAGGAGGGAGAGGAGGAGAGAGGAGGAGAGGAGAGAGGAGGAGAGGAGAGGAGAGGGAGAGAGGAGGGAGAGAGGAGAGAGGAGAGAGGAGAGAGAGAGGGGAGGGGAGAGGAGAGAGGGAGAGAGAGAGGAGAGGAGGGAGAGAGGAGAGGGAGAGAGGAGAGGAGAGGAGAGAGAGGAGGAGGAGAGGAGAGAGGAGAGGAGAGAGGAGGGAGAGGAGAGGAGGAGGAGAGAGAGGAGGAGAGGAGGAGAGAGAGAGGAGAGAGAGGAGAGGAGGGAGAGAGAGAGGAGGAGAGGAGAGAGAGAGGAGAGAGAGGAGAGAGGTGAGGAGGAGGAGAGGAGAGAGAGAGGAGAGGAGAGGAGGAGAGAGGAGAGAGAGAGAGGAGGAGAGGAGGAGAGAGAGAGGAGAGGAGAGGAGAGGAGAGAGGAGGAGAGAGAGGAGGAGAGAGGAGAGAGGAGGAGAGAGAGGAGAGAGAGGAGGAGAGAGAGGAGAGGAGAGAGAGGAGGGAGAGGAGGAGAGGAGGAGGAGGAGAGAGAGGAGAGGAGGGAGAGAGAGGAGAGGAGAGAGAGGAGGGAGAGAGAGGGAGAGGGAGGGAGGAGAGAGAGAGGAGAGGAGGGAGAGGAGAGAGAGAGGAGGAGAGGGGAGAGAGAGAGGAGAGAGGAGAGAGAGGAGAGGAGAGGAGGGAGAGGAGAGAGAGGAGGAGGGAGAGAGGAGAGAGGAGAGGAGGAGAGGAGAGAGGAGAGAGAGGAGAAAGAAGAAGGAAAGAGAGACAGAGAAAGAGAGAAAGAGAAGAGGAGAAGAAGAAGAGAGAGAGAGACAGGAGAAGAAAGAGGGAGGCGAGGAAGAAGAGAAGAGTAGAAAAGAAAGAGAGAGAGGAGAGAGAAGAAGAAGAGAAGAAGGAGAGAAGAAGAGAAGAGAGAGTAGGAGCAGAGAGAAGAGAGAAGAGAGGAGAGGTAGAGGGACGAAGAAAGAGAAAGAAAGGGAGGAAGAAGAGAGAGAAGAGACAGAGAAAGAGAAAAAGGGAGAGGGAGAAGAAAGGAGAGAGGAGGAGGGAAGAGAGAGAGGAGAGAGAAGAAGCGAGAGAGAGAGAGAGAAAAAAGAGGGAGAACGAAAAAGGAAGAGGAGAGAAGAGAGATAGAGAAGAGGAAGAAAGGGAGGAAGAGGAGGAGAAGGAGAGAGGATGAAGTGGAAGAGAGGAGGAGAGAGGAAAGAGGAAAGAGGAAGAAGAAGGAGGAGGAGATAATGTAGTTGTAATGTCGATCAGTATACGAGTTGATATTGGCATTGAAAGATAGAAATTAGACAATGATACATCTTTTCTACTCAAAGAGTGTATTGATAAGATGAACCGAGTGAGAAAAGTCAGAGAAAGGAGGTAAAAGTTGATAAATTAATAGTTTAATATCATATTTGTGTAAGTGGGCGCCCCAATTAGGATATAGTCGATGTAAGCATATTAAATTAACCCCCGGAGAGAGAGGGGATGACGTGTAAGCACGATAGTCGAAGGCTTGGTACGAGTGATAAGTGATTGAGAGGATCGCACCAGAGGTATTGAGGAATTTATAATTATGAGATTTAAGAAGAGCAAGAATGCCTAGTGAGGGGGCGGATGTAATTTGCGGAATACAAATCGACTATATCTATAAATAGGGAAAATCGTTTATAGAAACCGGTTATGGGTGGGGATAAAAGACGGCTCTACCTATTGACATGATTCAATGAGTGGCAAATAATATTTAGTAGGAAAGAGGAAATAGTCTTTATGACTATTATTTTAATTCTTTTCACTTTACATTCCTTAAGTTTGAGGCGTGTGTAAGCTCTCTTATTGGTATGTGATATGGTTTCGACAATGGAAATAACTGTTAATATTGAGTAGAGAGAAAGATGATATTCAACCAGGAGTATCATATATTCTTCATCCTCACTATTTCCTTACTCCTAGACATGAGAAAATATAACGATCTAAGTGTTATCCAGAATGAAAGATGTAGTCCAGAGTGGCAACTTGTAATATTTTGAGAAACGTAAGAGATATTTGTAGCTAGGACGATAAAGTTGATCATACTGATTGATCTATTTGGATAAAGAGTTAATATTGTTTTGCTGCTCTGTATGTAGTTATCATAGTAGGGAATTGATGGAATCGTTATAGTAAGAGCAGCGCGTTGATTGCGTGGTGATAGATGGCGATAAGTATTTATGAGGGATAATATAGTGGAGAAGTACTGAAGTTATGAAGATAGATGAGAGGAAAGAGTGCGCGAGCAACGTACGATACTAACCGATCATTTTTCCATCCTGAATTCAGTGGATGCAACGAGAGTGTACTGAGAGATGAGAGATAGACAGTAATGACAATTACTATGGTGGGAATTATGATACTGTTTTGCTTTGAAGGATGAGATTGATGTAAAGTAGATTCTGTAGAGAATTAGCAGAACGAACTTTTCTAATGAGACGAATTTCTGAGAAAGTTGATGTACAGAGAAAGCAACAGTGAATATCTTCGCTGAGATTTTTGTAGAGGAGATAATGAGAGGGCGAAAGTTATCTGGACTACCGTGAGAAATTCGAGAGACCGATGAGAAGCTTATGACACTAATGAAGTAGCGAAGAAGACGTTAAGAGGAGAGAAGATGTTTATGAGAGGAGCAAGTGAGAGTGAGAGAAAGAGGAGACCGTGACAAGAAGATGACTTAAGTCAAAACATAGTCAGCTCTGCGTGAACATTTTTCAGGAGATGAAGTGAGAAATTAGCTAGAACCGTATTGACGTAGTTTGTGATATTGAGAGTGTGTTCGTATGCGTACACTCTCTCCTGTGTAAGTCACCTTGAGTGAAATACTATTCGGTTGTTGAAGGAAGATGAAGGAGAGAGTCTGTGGTTTCATGTGAGAATGACTGAAAGCACGAAAAATGTTTAGAGAAAAGAAGTTGACAGAGACGAATGTTTATGTATCTAATGATTCTCCTAAAGACAACGTAGAACCAAAGAGTCAGAAGAGAGGAATTCGATTACTACGGAGTGGCATCCGATTGAGCGCTGAGACCACAAAGACGAATAGCTAGAGAGGTAAATGATCTGGAACATGCGAGAAGGGCAGTTATTGAAGACAGATTTGAGTTCGTAGTTAGCGGGGATGTACTGTGGGTGGATGTGTGAGGAGAATCATAGAGGGGTGTCGATTCGAGACGTGGTGACTGATTCTTTCGAAGGACGATGATAATGGGTTGATATTGGGATGATAAGGAGAATCAGAGTAGAGTATCTGAACAGTTGATTATAACAGAATGATCGATAGGCTTCTAGACTGCCATACTTTTGAGAGCGAGATCGTTCTGACGGTGAACAGGCGAGTTGGGAGAAGAGGGCTGGAGGAAGACAAGGATCGACCTGGAGTGTGGATATGGGATTTGTAGGAAGTATGTATTCAGGAGAGAATTTTCTGATAGAGAATGGAGACAGTGTTAAGGTATATGATGAGAGACCACTTGGCTAAAGAAAGCGATGAGGGTGGAGAGACCCTCTGAGGTGAGGAGATAGTAGAAGAGATGATGTTGGGATTGGGGATGCGGGAGAGAGAAGAGATAGAATGTTGTGATGAGGAGGATGAGATGAGGGATTCTGAAGAGAAGAGGAGTTGGATGAGGATGGAGGAAACTGACTGTATGTGAGTACCTAGTCTTGACGGAGACTGTAGAGGGGAGTTGATGATGATAGTGAGAGAAAGATGATGAAAGGTGAGATGGTCTGAGCGAGAAGTAGTGAGACGATAGGGAGTAGTGATGAGATGAAGGTCGAGGGGAATGGTGGTCGATCTGAGCGAGTGGATTGGAGGTTGGAGAGATTTGGAGGCGTAGGCTGTGGATGGGAGCATAGTGAGAGACCTTGAATTTGATGGTTGAAGTGGGGTGACGGTGAGAGGAGCGGAGCGATGAGGGGACGTGGAAGTTACGACAGAGTTTTGGAGAGAGAATCGACGAAGGGAGAGATGAGGAGTGAGGAGCAAGGCGTGAAAGAGCTTAAGTCTGTGGAGGACGACGAGTAGGAGGGGGAGAGAAGAACGGAGCGAGAATATAGGAGGGGATATGAAATTATATGGGACCCGGTTAGACAGGGGTGGAGAGGGAGAGAGAGTGAGAGAGAATGGGACAGATAGTACAATAGATAGAGAGGTGGTTAGAGTGTTGAAAGATGAGAGAGAAACTGTAGAAGAGAGAGGTGATGAGATGTGTGTGAGAAGAGTGAAGATTTTTGTGAGTAGGAGAGGAGTTCTGGATGACGGAGTACGGTTCGCGGAGAAATAGACGATAAGAGCGAGGGTTGGGGAGCGGGGTGAGAAAGAAGAGTTGGTCGGCTTACGAGAGTTTGATGGGAATCTGAGAAAGAGGATGGAGAATAGTTTGATAGTATTGACGAGACGTGAAGGGGAGATGAGTGAGTCTGTGATGGGAGAGAATAGAGTTGTGACTTGAGTCGGGTACGAGCTGGAAGGGAGTAGCGAGAGCAGAGGAGAGTAGGGACGAGGAGAACGGCGGGTGGAATTGGTGGAGAGGAGAGGGCGATGAGCCGCCCTGTTGAGAGAGGGAGAGTAGAAATTGATGGAGGGTGGTGATGAGCGGGGTAGTAGCATTCGTGATCTTTTGTTGGTGAGACAAGAGGAGTATGCAGCCTGAACGATATTGTGAGAGGGAAGACCATTGTGGGGCTGTTGAGTTTGAGATGCGAGATCGTAGATGGAGAGGCTGCGTGTAGATGGATGAGGATTGAGAGAGAGGAGAATGGGTTAGGTGGATGAGATGACGGAGAGATGGGAGAGCGTAGGGCTCGGATTCGAGACGTTTAGTGTTGGAAGAAGAAAGACGCGGTGGAGTTGAGGGAGATACGGGAGAGCTGGTGAGAAGCAGTAGTGAGAGATTGGAGTGGTGGTGTGAATGTGATTGTGTGAGGATAGAGTGGTGTGATGAAGGGAAGTTTGAGAGGAGTAGAGTGAGAGGGAGGAGGAGAGGAGAGTCGGCAGTTGGATGAGATGAGGGAGGCGGATCGTGTGAGTAGCCGATGATTAGTGAAGACTGAAAGATCGATGTAGAGATGAGATGCGAAGGCTGAGGTCTGGAGGATGTCAGTGATGGTATAGGGGAGAGACGAGTGAGAGCTAGATGTTAGGCGATGTTGAGAGAGAGGAGAATGGAGTAGATAAGAGAATGGGGAGAGAGATTAAGTGTGAGAGGCTAGTCATATGTGAGATTGTGAGTTAAGAGTGGGAGTGGGTAAGAGAAGGCAGAGGAACGAAGGTTGAAGAAGGGCGTAGCGTTAGCCGAATGACAAGGGGCGATACTGGAGAGGAGAGTGGGAGGGAGGTGAGTGAAGGGTGAGAACAGAGCTTGATAAGTTTACTCCGCGAGTAATGGAGTGCAGTACAGGGTGAGGAGGGAGGGAGGGAGTGATGTGACGTGAGAGAGATGTGGGAGTTGAGGAGATATGAAGTGACGCGGGACTGAGGCTAGGCGGTCGAATGTCTGTGAAAAGAGAAGAACGGGAGAGGAGGGTACGGAGAAGAATGGAGAATAGAGTAGGAGTTAGGGTGCGAGGGAGGATTGATTGAGTGAGGTTGCATTTGAAGAAGTAGGAATGGGATAGGAGTAGTCACAGGATGAGTAAGAGTAGGGAGGATAGGGCAGTAGGGGATAAAGACGAGAGGAGGGAGGCGGAATGAAGTGTTATGGAGTGAGAAACGGGGGGATGAGAGCGGGACGATATGTTGTTTCGGGGGGGAGTGAGATGAGATGTGGGGGCACGAAGAATGAGTACGGATGGAGAAAGATGATCAGAGGACAGATGGGTTAGGTCGGACCGGTGGAACCAATTAGTGCATGGTGGGGAGTGGTCACGGAGATTTGTAGATGGTTCGTTGGTGACGAGAGATCGAGGCCGAGAATGATAAGAAGTGGTGAGGAGATGAGAACGGGAGTTGAGAGAAGATAGTGAGAGGTAGCGATGATGTGTGATAGAGGAGAGGGGTGAGAAAGATGAGGAGAAGAGACGATAGCAAATTTATGATATATGGTGAACAGAGTAGAGAGAGACTATTCAGCATTAAGACGCGGAGAGGCGGTAAATGGAGAAGAGTATTGAGTGTCGAGAGACCAGTCATGAGATAGAAGAGGAGGAAGATGCGAGGGAGAAGGAGCGAGGGGAGGAGAGAGGGACCTGAGTGAAATAGCTGACGGATGAGAGCAACTTTTGTAAGAGGGATGAAAGGCGAGAAGGAATAAAGGTGAAGTGTTGAGCAGTAAGAGGATGGGAATGTTAGAGAGAATGAATGAGTGGGAGCTGGAGAAGAGACGTGAAGAGTGGCTAGGGCATGTTAGATGGAAGCCGAGAGAGGATGATGAGTAGAAGAGAAGATGGCGATGAGGGAAGATAGGATGTGGATGGTATTGAGTCGGAAGCTAGAATTCTAAGATGAGCAGGAGGGGAGGAGACAGTGAATGTCCGGCGCTCGCGATGAGAAGAACGGAGATGGAGAGCTGGTGATTGAGAGAGTAGAAGAGAGTTGTTGGCGAGATGCTAGGAGGAGTTAACAGGACAGGATATTGAGTTAGATGATGAGCATTCAATTGAAGGACTGATGAGAAGTAATGAGTGAGCATGAGTGAGAAATGTGGAGAAGTAGGTTGAGATGTAGTGAGAGAGTACTTCGGAAAAGGAGATAGATTATCGTAGAGATGCTGATAGTATGTTTTGCAGAGTGAGCTAAATAATTTCGAGATGAGAGATTTCCAGGGATGCTGATGTTAGAAAGCTTGATAGATGAATGATGTTTTGGATGAGTACCTAGGGGATTACATAGAAGGAGGGGAGAGTAGTTTAGAGAGGTTGGAAAAGAGCGAGAGAGATATGGATCTCGACGTTAGTTTAGAGATTGTTTTTTCGTGCAGACGAGATTAGTATTGAGAGGCCGCGGGATGATAGAGGGAGAAAGATGAAAAGATTGAGTTGAGAGACGCGATGATTTGAAGGAGATCTGCTTTCCAGGAGGAGCGGGAGGAGGAGGGGGCGATGTTGGGGTGAGTGAGAAGATGGGAGAAGAGAGAGAAGCGGGAAGAGAGAGGGAGATTGAGATGAAATGGAGGAATGATGAGAGAGAGCCTATAAGCTATGGTTTTAACTAGAGAGTGTGGGATTTGGGAAGCCGAGTTTATGAAGAGAAGACGATGGAGGGAGTAGTTTTAGGTTGAAGATAGAAGACGACATTGAAGAAGTAGTAGAGAAGATAAAGAGGAGGAGGAAACGATGAGACGAGAAAGGAGAAAGAGCGTGGAAAGCTGGGAGGCTTGATAGGCGCAAAGGGGATGAAGAGAAATGATGAGATAGGATTGAGGAGCGCAGAGAGGTAGTCGATGGTCTTGAGGAGGAACGCGAGGAGAGAGGAGGGAGTTGAGGATACAGGTGGTTTATGGAGTGTGAGAGGATGATGGTGAGAATGAGACAGTAGAGTGAAGTGTGGTTAGGAGAGAAGTTGGAGTTAAGAAATCCGAGGGATTGATGTGATTATGAGGGAGAGGAGGAGAGAGGAGAGGGAGAAAGAATGAGTTGAGTGGAGGGGCGGCGAAGTTAGAGTTGAGGATTTGTGGATTAGCCGGAGAAAGAGGAGCTCGTGATGAGGGGAATGGTCCGTGAGAGTGAGGCAGGAGAGAGCTGGGGCTGCTGCCGCATGTTGCCAGCGTGATACGTATGATCTAGAGATCGATGAGAAGAAGATAGATACTGACTGTGGGGTCGAATAGGTGGGTGGAGGGAGGGTGGGTATATGATGATAGAAGACAAGCAGAAGTTGAGGAAAGTAGTGGTGGGTGTTTAGGGAAGCGGATTGTATGGAGGTGAGAGCGCGAGAGTGCTCGAGCGTTGTGTGAGGGAGCGTTCGTAAGATGGGACCGCGTGGAGGGGGGATGAAGAGGCAGAATAGAAGTGAGAGAAGGGAGTATGGAGAAGGGAAAGGATTGGCGAAGAAGGGAGGAGAGGTAAGAGAGAGAGAGTTGGAGATGGTTAGTGGGAGGAACTACTATGAGTTTGACAGGGAGAATGGAATAGGGGGAGAGAGGATGAGATGGATTGCTGTTGATGAGATCCTTACATCAATCCAAAGACTTTTATATACACCTTTTTTTTTTTTTTCTTCCCTCCCTTTGCGTCGAGAAGTTATTGGAGAGCAGTCATAGTTCAAGATGAGGGAAGTGTGCTCATGATTTTGAGATGAGAGGAGGAGAAGCTAGCGATGAAAAGATGGAGAAGTAAGATGAGTATTGCTTCGACCGGGTGCGGATTGGCTGGCTGTATAGTGAAGGGCGATGAGAAGAAGATTTGAAAGCAGAGAGGATCCGTAAGAGGTGGGACGGAGATGGAAGGCGAGAAGCTGGGTGGTAGAAGGCTGAGAACCGAGAGGGAAGTCGAAACGAAGATGACGATGTGTATCTGAGAGAGGAATTTAATTGATTCTTGAAGGCAAGTCGATATGTGTAGAATAAAAACATTATAGCTAGTGAGACAAGGTATTTTAGCGAAATAGTGAAAGAGGTGTGAGGATGGATAGAATTAAAGGCGATGCGAAGAGGGAAGAGTAATTTTAGAAATTGCAGTGTGGCGAAGCAAGTTGAGATGAGGTGCGGATAGGAGAAGAGAGGGTGGCCCATCTTTATTTTTATCCATAGGGGGGAAAGAGCTGGTAGGAGGAGGCGAGATTGGTAAGAGCTGTGGAGTATCGATGGTTGAGAGGGTTTGAAATGAGGATGGATTGAGGATAGGGAGACCAGCTACTTGGAGAGGACTGAGTAGGATAGAAAGAGGAGAGGCGAGTGCGGAAGCTGAATGATGGAGAGATGAGAGATAGATGTTGAGAGAAGAAAAAGTCGAAGGTGAACGTGTTTTGTAGAGAAGATGAAGAGTGAGTGACGGAAGTGACGAAGAGTTGGTTTGATGGTTTGTCAATAGAAAGCTGAAGAAAGGAGAACGTGTGGAGAGAGGGAGTATGACTTTGGCTGGATCGATTTTATTGAGTAGGTAGGAGATTGAGAGGTGTAGAAGACGGGAGAGCGTGAGAATGTAGAGAGGTGACGAGTGAATATTGAAGGAGAGGTGTGAGTTGAGAGAGTAGAGCCGCGATGTACCAGAGTTGGTGTTGAGGTAGTGGAAAGAGCACGTGGAGAACGGAGAGGTGGAGAGTAGAACTTGAGAAGAGTAAGTAGGTGTGAGATGGTTGTGAGGGGGAGAAGATAGATGAGTGCAATGATATAGGAATGAGGAGATGGTGATGGAGGCGGCATGAGTGCGAGTCTGTACGCCTATTGTGTGAGATGTAGAATGAGATTTGAGTGAGGGGGTATGGCGCGTGATGATGAGAGACGGAGTTTGGAAGGGGAGAGAGGATGGGGAGTGTAGGAGGGAGGTTGAGGTAGTTGCTTTGAGGAGGCCGTCGCATGAGAGCAGTGAAGCTATATGAGCCTCGGAGAGACGTGAGCGAAGATTTGAAGTGAGGAGTGAGAAGTTATTTTAAGTTGAGGGAGGGCGGAGAGGAGGTCTTAGGAGATGAGGAAGTCGGTATGTTGTATGTGGTAAGGCAGGTGGAGAAGAGAG